AATGACAATAGAATGGGAAAGATTTTAGGTGAGAGGAAGGGCCGGTAATGGGGAAAAGGGAAGGTGGAGAAAATGTATAAACATGGTACCAAACCATTTGTTTTCCTATAAATAACTTACCTGAGACCCCCCAAATACTACATTTCATTTTCATCGAGCATTTTAATTCACTAGCTAATTACATTGTAAAAGAGAAAAAATGAAGTCATCATGTTAGTGTATATGTAATTAGGACAATATTGTAATTATAAATATTTTATTGTACTATATATATGCGTAATGCCAATACAATATCCGTTAAGAGTTTTCACATTTTCATGGTATCAGCCTTGTTCTTGAGTTGTCATTTTATTTTTTTTTAGGGATTTTCTAGCCGTCAAGTTGTTCTTCCTGCTGCGGTCTTCATCGGCACCGTCTCTTTGCGGCTGCTCCATCACCGGCAACGATTCCATTGCTCCGTACCCCGATCCTATTCCTCACGTCTGCTGCTGTCTTCTTCCATGGTTTGTGGCCTGTTGCTGCTGTTGAAGTGTTCCCTTCGAGGGGTTTGATCTGATTTCCTGCGGCTGCTGCACATTGCCGGACGCGTTGTTATCGTTCCCCCCTTGTTTCCGACATCGCTGCTTCTTTTCTACTGCTTTTAGCTACCGTAATTCACCGGTCTGGCTGTCGCTGCTGCTGTTTGTTGTTCTCCGTTGCTTCGCTGTCGGCTTATTCGCTTGCTTGGCCGTATTGTCTTTGGTTGATGTTTCACGACGCCGCCGCTCCTATTGTCTTTCTCTTCCTCGAATCTCCATAGCTGCTGCTTGGTTGGCTTGCTCTTCACGGCCTCAAGCAACTCGGCGATTGTTGGGTGTGAAAGTTGGTGAAGGAGGAGGCCACAAATTTCTTGTTTGCTGCAAAATTTTGGCTGCTAATTTTTTTTTTTTTTAAGTTCCTGCAAAATTCTATCTCCATTGTTGTTTTCTGGTTCTACTTCCGGTCTATTCATCCTGGTTCAACCCGATCCAGTTTGGTTTGGTTCGGTTCAACCGGTTCGGTTTGGTATAATCGGTTCTGTTTGGTTCAACTAGTTCGGTTTGGTTCATCGAGTTCAGTTCGTTCATTTTGTTTTGATTTGGTCCGATTAACTCGGTTCGGTTCATTTTCTCTTCATCTGCAACTGTTACGAGGATGGAATCTTTTGCTCCCTCAGGTCATCAGGCCTCCTTTCGTACTAATTTAGTTCAGTGCTTCAATTGTTATGGTTATGGTCACATGGCTCGTTCGTGTCATTCGGTATGTAGACCTATGCAATACTATCCTTCTGCTTCTACTGCTTATAGTGTTTATCCGGCCTCTCTTTTGCAGCCATGGTACTTTGATTCAGCAGCGGGTGCTCCATGACTAATGATTCTGGTAATCTTGTTACTTCTTCACCTTATACTGGTTTGGACAAATTCTGTGTTGATAATAGTACTATACTAGATATGAAATCCCTTGGTTCCTCTACTACTTCTTCTAAAAATCGTTCGTTTACTCTCCCTAATGTGCTACATGTTCCTTCCCTTACCCAAAATTTGATTTTGTTCGTAAATTTACCACTGGTAATAATTGTTCTGTGAAATTTGATCCTTTTGGTTTATGTGTTAAAGATCTCAAAACAAAGACCCAACTTCTCTGGTGTAATAGTCCAGGGCCTCTCTATCCCCTTGGTCCTTGTTCACTTCCATCTTCAGTGCCAACTCTGTTACCTCTTCACACAAGTCTTCTCCTTTGGCATCGTCGTTTAGGGCATCCTGGCTCTCGTGTCCTAAATAAATTAATTACTAGATCCCTTATTTCTAGTTCCCACTCAAGTTCTCAGTTAGGGTTTTGTCATGCCTGTCAACTTGGGAAACATGTGGGTTTACCATTTGATACTTCTACATCTCATACTACATTTTCATTTGAAATCATACACTCTGATGTTTGGTTTTCTCCGGTTACCTCTCCTACTGGCTACAAATATTTTGTGACCTTTTTGGATGATTTTACTCATTATTGCTGGATTTTTCATCTGAGATGTAAATCTGATGTCTTCTCTTGTTTTTCCGAATTTTATGCTTATGTTACAAATCAATTGAATGCCTTTATTCATTGTTTTCAATGTGATCAAGGTGGAGAATATGAAAATCACTTGTTCTAAAATTTCTTTAAAACTCATGGCATTCATCTTCGCATGAGTATCACTGGTTGTTCTTAGCAAAACGGTAAGGCTGAACGCCTTAATCGTACTATTGTTAATATGATTTGTACCTTACTGTTTCAAGCATCTATGCCTCCAATTTTTTGGGTTGAAGCTCTCAACACTGTTACCTATCTTCTTAACCGCCTTCTACACTGCTCTTACCCCATAAGTCTCTTTATGAAGTTCTTTTTCATACGCGCCCATCTTATGATCATTTACGTACGTTCGGTTGTACTTGTTATCCTAACCTTTGTCATACTGTTAAACACAAGTTGGAACCTCTTTCCACCTTATGCGTTTTTCTTGGGTATCTGAAACATCAAAAAAGGTACCGATGGGTTGATCTTGCTACTAATAAAGTCATCACATCTCGCCATGTTGTATGTGATGAGAATACATTTCCTTTTTCTTGTGGATCCTCCCATTTCCCCCCATCATCCTCATCTACCTCTTTGTTTCATCAACCTGGACCACTAGTTCCTTCTGCTCTATTCCCGGTGTCTTTCCCTTCTTCTTCCAATTCTCGTGCTCGACCTGTACCTCCTCAAATTAATCTTAATTCCCCAGTTACTACCTCTCCTCATTCTCCCTCTCCCTCTTCCTCACCCCTTATTTCTAGTCCTTCCCCTATTCCGCACACTTCCACTCCCATTCCGAGTCCTCCTTCTTCCCCCCCCCCCTATTCCTCATCTTATGGTCACTCGTACTAAGGATGGTACTTGGAAACCCAAGGTGATTTTTAATTTAGCTAGTTCTGTTACTAATCCTCCTTTGCAGGCACCTACTACATTTTGTGAAGCTGTGAAACATGATTTTTTTATGAGCGGTAACAGGCAATGAATGATGAAATTGCTGCCTTGACTCGTAATGATACCTGGACTCTTGTTCCCAAACCTCCTGGGGCTAATTTGTAGGATCCAAATTGGTTTTTTGCATAAAAGAAAAAGCTGATGGATCTTTAGATCGCTACAAAGCAAAACTTGTAGCTTAGGGCTACTCTCAACGGCCATGTGTTGATGTTGGTGATACTTTTAGTCCAGTTGTTCGTCCAGCTACTATTTGCACAGTATTGACTCTTGCTCTCTCTCGCAACTGGCCTATTCATCAACTTGATGTGAAGAATGTTTTTCTGAACGGTCTCTTACATGAATCTGTGTATATGAAACAACCTCCTGGGTTTGTCCATCATCAGCATCTTGATTATGTTTGTAAGCTCAATCGGGCTTTTTATGGTCTTAAGCAAGTCCCTCGATCTTGGTTTTAGAGGTTTGGCTCCTTCATTACTTCACGTGGTTTTTCCTCTTTTAAATCTGACTCATCTGTGTTTGTTTACCGTAATGGTGGGGACATGGCTGTCCTTCTCTTTTATGTTGATGACATTCTTCTTACTGCTTCTTCTATGTCGCTCATGTCTTCAATCATTGCTCATTTGAGAAATAAGTTTGTCATGACAGATTTGGAAGATTTGCATTATTTTCTTGGCATTTCGGTTTCACGTACTCCTAATGGTCTTTTTCTATCACAGTCGAAGTACATTGCCAGCCTTCTTGATCGTTGTCATCTTACTTATGCTAATCCTGCTATCACTCCTGTTGATACTAAATCTAAATTATCTCAACTTGATGGAGAGTTGTTTGCTGATATGATATAGCTTATGCAATGCAGTAGGTTTTTTTTTTTTATGCATCAGCCTCGGGAGTCTCACTACCAAGCAGTCAAGCGCATTCTGCACTATCTAAAGGGTACTATTTCTCACGGTCTTCATCTTCATCCTGGACCTCTTGATAAGCTAGTGGCATATTCTGATGCTGACTGAGCTGGCTGCCCGGATACTCGTCGATCTACTTCTGGTTATTGTGTCTTCTTTGGTCCCAATCTCATCTCTTGGTCCTCTAAACGGCAACCTATTGTTTCTCGTTCCAGTGCTGAGACTGAGTATCGAGCGGTCATTAATGCTGTTTCTGAAGTATGTTGGATTCATTCATTACTTTCGAAGCTGTATATTCGGTTGTCTACTACTACCATAGTATTTTGTGATAATGTTAGCATTGTTTTCTTGTCCACTAATCCTGTTCAGAATCCGTGTACCAAGCATGTAGAGATTGATATCCATTTTGTTCGTGAGAAAGTTACTTAAGGGTCTATTCGGGTTCTTCATGTTCCTTCTTCTCACCAGTTTGCTGATATAATGGCTAAAGTTTTGCCTTATGTCCTCTTTACGGATGTTCGAGACAATTTGAACGTTCGTGTATCTCCCGTTCCGATTGCGGAGGGATGTTAGTGTATATGTAACTAGGACATTATTGTAATTGTACATATATTATTTTACTATATATATATGTAATGCCAATATAATACCCGTTATGGGTTTTCACACTTTCAATAATAATTGGCAAAGTGATGGGTGAAATTTGAGTATGAAATTATAACGCTTTGTCAAATTAACTTTGAATAGAAATTCCTAAAAATCTTGAATCTAACCTTTATCCACAAAATTCCAGCAGGAGTAAAACTCACACAAACTTTAGAGATTGCGACAATTGATTTTTTTCTCTTTCTCCCATAAATTCGATATCGAACTCTTGAAATGGAAATGGCACTAGAATGGGAAAGATTTTAGGTGAGAGGAAGCGCTGGTAATGAGAAAAAGGGAAGTAGGAGAAAATGTATAAACATGGTACCAAACCATTTGTTTTCCTATAAATAACTTACCTCAAGCACCCCAAATACAACATTTCATTTTCATCCAACATTTTAATTCACTAGCTAATTACATTGTAAAAGAGAAAAAATGAACTCATCATGTGCTCCTCAATTCGTGATGATGCTAATGATGTTAGGGGCAATAATGATTCTTGGTTGTATGAAAGTAAGCAACGCTGCTGATTGTAACCCAATGAAACTGAGTCCATGTGGCCCGACAATCTTTCACAACATAGCTCCGTCGGGAAAATGTTGTGCTAGGCTGAAGGAGGAGCGTCCTTGCCTTTACCTGTTCAAGAAAGATCCAGCCCTCAGGAAGTATGTGGACTCCAAATATGCCAAAATGATTGCCATGGTTTGTGGTGTTCCCAAACCAAAATGTTAATTAATTAAGCTACCGGAGTTTAAATAAAAGATTGATCATCTTAAAGTATTTACTTTACTTATGATGCGGCCTAATCTATCATAAGTTAATTTTAAGTTTCTTTTGGTATGATTAATGAGACACATGCTTAATAAATTCTATTTTTTCCTATTCTAACGAACTTCTAAGTCAATGAAGATTTCAAATCCAATGTAGCAATTTTTCAGAGCATTTATAATAGCCTATAAATTGTTATGTATTTTAGACCGTTAGTACATATATAATGGGAAAAGATTTGAATTAAAAAGTCTTTATGCAATTGATAAATTGTCCTTTTCTATGGGAATTAGGTCACAAACTAACTATTGATCATAGCCTAACAACTGTAGTCGATTAGTTTATATTGACGCGCGATAAGCACAACTATAAAACAATACTATTTTTAAAAATGAAAAAAAGTAAAAATAACTACAAAGTGTTGTGTTTTTTATGTCAAGATTTGGTTAATTAATGAACACACAATTGAAATGATAAGGAAATGGATTTTAGCATTACGCTTCTAAAAATTTCTTAGGTTTCCCACAAAGCTAATGAATGAAAAAAAAATATCACAACGAATACATAGATCTAGAAACAAGTTTTTTATAATTTGAAGAGTTTTCATTAATGAATGTTATGTTATCCCTTAAAAAGTTACTTGACTGAAAAATTAAACATAAAATAAAAGTTAAATGTGTTCAAATTATTGAATGGTCCTTTCAAATGAATATCATTTGATTTCTCCTATTTTCATGTCCAAATCTTGCGATAGAATTATTCAATAAGGTTTTAGAAAGAATGTCTCTCATTTTTACTAGATTGATTTAAGTGCAAAAAGTCGTACATTTGTTGTTAAAGCATTGATTCATAGAAAAAGTCAACTATTGATGTTTGGAATTTTTGGGGGTTATGACTCATCAACTCCTTGTCACGTCCAACGACGGAACATTCATTCCAACCACCGGCCATGAGTTGTTTCCGGCAATGTCGCCGGCCAGTGGTGTACCGGCGGTGTTTTCCGGCAAAGTCACCGGAAATTTACTGGGAAATTTGCCCCCCGGCGGTGGTCTGGCGGTGTCCGGCGGTGGTTCGGCGGCGGCCCGGCGGTGGTTCAACCGTTATCCACCGTGGAGCATGGTGGGGAGATGGCGGTTCACGGTGTCACGACACGTCGATGGAGGAGGTGACATTTGAAAACACTTATCAATCTTGTTGAATTTCAAATTTCTCGCTTAAATTTTGAGCGGGAATCACGTGCATCTCACGTGCATGAAACCAACCCATCACTTTTTAAATTTCTGATTTTTCCTTTGGTCAAACCAACCATCTTCCGCCCCTGACCGTTGGCCTTCTTGCCGGAACACCACCATAAAAGTGAACAAAAATAGATGGCCACTCTTTGGTGTCAAAGTGCAACAAATTTTCTTTTTAGTTTTGAATTAATACAGTGGACATCTTTTTATGACTTTTGGTGCAATTAATTCTACATCTTTATTGGTTGCCTCTTAAGATGCTGGACAACAAACCTGAAATATATATATATATATATATATATATATATATATATATATATCTAGTTGTGTATTAAGTTGCTTATAGTGGTCCTCATGTCCAATGCCCATGCGTACTTTATCACATGTGCCTTTCTGTCTTTGAATGCCTTGTCTACATGTTGTGTCTTGCTTGAAACTTGTGCATGTATCGTTAGTGGATCCATGCACCTATTGGGAAGTCGACCTCGGTTTGAGTTAGCAATGACCTTGATCACCCGGCTAGACAACCCAAGAGGGCGTTATCGGTATAAATCTCGAGATATACCCCCTATCCTTCTAGTTCAGGTGTTGGCTGTCGATGCTTACTTTCATTCATTTATTTCGTAACCTCGTTACAAGCTTGAGATGAATTAGAAGTTCGTTCCATAAGGTATATAGGCAGAATCATACTTCTAACTATTCTCACCCGTATCTACTCCTAATAAGTGCATTATATTCTTTGATATGTTTTTGGCTTATGGTAGCCATTGATTATTAGTTTAGTTAAGATGTCTGTTAGTTAATACTTGGCATGAGTATGATTTCTTTGTATTTTTCTTTATCTTCTATGGTAATTCTATGCCATAACTTGTTTGATTATGTGACCACTTAGATTAATGGCATGCGGTACCTAAACGCATATGTTTTTCTATTTCAGGAGATCGAAACGATTTAGTTTCTTTCGATGACTCTTAGAACGTTAAATGGTGTTTCTAGGAAAAACAGTTTAAATAGTTTAACTTGTAAAACGTCTAGCATTGTAATTCGAAGTTCTTTAAAAGCCATGTAATTTTTATTTGAAATCTTCTTATATACGAATTACAGTTTAAAATTTAAGACACATTGATATCTTAAGTTTATCGCTCTTGATTACTAGTATACTATTTTAGTGAGACATAGCGAGAGCTAGGCAAGCGTTCCGACTATGACACTTTCGCTATAAGTAAGGGAGTCTAGTTGGGGCGTTACAAGTGACCCTAACTGTGGTTATAATTCTTTAAATCTTAATTTGCAACGTATGTTTTCTTGATTCAATTTAAAGTATTGTTTATTTCTATTTCTTACGCGTTACACTTTTTCCTTTTTTCTTTTTTGGTATTCCTAATCCTATGGACGAATATTTTACTACTATATAAGGTGAAACAATTTAATGTTATCTTTTTATGGAATAATATATTCCACACTAATAACAATTTAAATATTTAGGAACCTAAATAGTAATTTTAAGAATTACACTATAACTAATACTAGTAATTTTTTTAAAAAAGATGACTAATGTCCCTCTTCTCGTTCCCAAACTCAATTTGTCAATCATGGTAAAGATGTGAATGTAAGATAACTCCACAACACGGCCAGAAATATTCTGACTGCGGTAAACACTAATTTTACCAATATATGGCATTGATGGTTTCACCATGATGTTATTGATGGATGATTATTTTGAAACACGTAGCCTGTTAATAATATGTACTTGGCCAATACCTAGTCTCTTTCTTATACAAAATAATAATAATAATAATAATAATAATAATAATAATAATAATAAAGATTCAAAAGACCTACCTAATAATACAAAGAGGTAGCAGTCGGAGTAGCTAGAGTTCCTCTCTCGAGAGTTCTCTGAGCGTAGGGTCCCCCGCAAGTAGGGTTCGTAGATTTGTAGGGTTTCGTAGGCAAATCTTCATAGCCGCCACCAATAATTCTTCTTTTTCAGGCCGACTTGCCCCTATTTATGCATATCTCACGCACAACACACACTCTTGCATCTTTGTTTCAAAAGAGTCTTGAAAAAAAAAATTCGTTTTTCACCTTTTTTTTCTTGTGGTTTTCAATTGTTTTTGTGACAGATCCAGGAAGCCTTAATTTCATCTCCACCGCTACAGCCTTTCTGTCTCAACCTTGCCACAAGTCCACTACCTGTGATGGACTCCATAGCAGATCCGTTCTCAAAACTCTCCTTGAACAAGAGAGAAACCACCATCATTGAACCCGAGAAGGATGCAGCCCTTGACTATGATCGCGAAAAGGCTTTGTTTGGAAAACTCATAACGAGTAATGTAATCGGGCATGGTGTCATCGTTCAGAAACTAAGGAATTTTTGGCGACTTCGGGGAACCATATCCACAAATGCTCTAGGTGATAATACCATTCTGTTTTGCTTCAGTAATATCCTTGATAAGAAAAGGATGATAGCACGGTCTCCTTGGTTTGTAGAAGATCACCTCCTTGTCCTAGAAGAAGACACAGCGAATATCATAGCCAAAAAACATACCTTTTCACGCTCGCCGTTATGGATCCAGCTTCATGATTTGCCCATCGGGCTGATGTCTAAGAGCTTTGCAGCCACTGCCGGTAACAACATAGGCCGATTCCTTGAAGTCTACTGTGATAATGAGGGTTCATGTATTGGAAGGTTTCTCCGCATAAGGGTTGAGGTGGATATCAGCCTGCCTTTAATGCGTACTATAACGGTGAACCATGACGGAACACCATTGCGGGTCACATTGAAATATGAGAGAATGGTAGACTTTTGTTACTACTGCGGAGTAATTGGTCACGAACATGCCAAGTGCGATCTGAAAATCAGTAATCCGCCCTCCTCAACTGAACCATTGGGATATGGACCTTTCTTAACAGCAGACCAAACCAGCAACCCTTTTCCGGAACGTCGATTTCAACGTCGACGGGATGAAGGAGGAACAACCACTATGACACAAAACCTAGGAGACAACCTAAAATCCATCCAAACCAGCGATCCTAAACCTGCCACTCATAAAACATACATCGAAGCCCTAGCCACAAGCCCCACACTGATACCCACACAGCACTCGATACCTCCTTCATCATTAACTCACACTTCTCAACCAGCCACATCACGTCCTCCTCCCTCCACAACTCAGGAACCCTCCCCTTTGATCTCTCATACGGTTGTGCCTCACACAATTCCCCGACTACCGAGAATGTCGTCGATTAGAGTGGCTACTCATCCCAACATACCATCTAGACACTTTACCCCGGCAATTGAAGCAAAATATTTCTCTGAAGCTTTTTCAGAAAAGAATCACAATAATCCAAACTTGGTGCACGATGATGACGGGTCAATTCTTGCGTCCTTATCGTCGGTACTAAACCCCAGGAAAACCCTTGAAGAAAATCTTGGTCTTGGTGCCTCAACTGCAAGGCCAACCCATGCTGAAGCTCAAACTTTATTGCAGCGCACAATTGATCAAATGTTCCCCCCGAATTCACCCCCAGGTTCACCTCCCCGAGTTGATCTCCCACCGAATGTCACCGGGGCAGAATCGACAGCCTTATACCATGTTAAGTTGGCAGCCAACACCCAGGCATCAGTACCAAGTTCACAACCCACCCTCCCGTCCACACCACCAACTTCATCTCAACCCATCATTGATTATCCACCTTCCCCGCCCGCATCTCCACAGCCGAGTACTCAAAACAACACCACCCTGCCGGGCAGTCCCTTCTTGGTCGATGTCCTTATGCTAGTCGATTCTCCTCTGGGAAGAGCTGAGAGGAAAGTTTCAATCCGACGCCTCCAGAAGATATCCTCCACTTCGTCCAAAAGCAACTCAGGGAGAACCACAAAAAGAAAACTGATGATAGAAGATGAAATTGTAGAGACAATTCCAGTCGAGGCTTTGCCCAAGAAGGCGCGAGTTGATGATGTTGCTTGGTAATCTCTCCAATGTGACCAGCAGGAAGCTAATTACGAAAACAATTCAACGGCAGGGAGTGGCACGGAAAGTCACCCCAGCCGAGAGATATGAGTTTTCTAGGCTGGAACTGCCGGGGGCTTGGGAACCACTGGACCAGTAGAGAGCTACGGAAGATCATCCGTAAAAAGTCACCCTTGCTAGTTTTTCTTTCAGAAACAAAATGTAATGCTTTAGTTATTGATACTTTTAAGCACTCTGTTAGTTATTTTGGTATTTCTCTTAATGCAATCGGCTCCTCTGGAGGTCTCGCCTTGTTATGGAGGAAGGACATCCAAGTTACAATAAAATCTTTTTCTCGTCGTTACTTTGATGCTGAAGCAGTATTGCGTGGTATTCCTGTTCGAGTTACCGGTTATTATGGAGAACCAGATTCTTCTCGTCGAAAAGTGTCTTGGGAAAACTTTGTAAATCACCTAGGTCAATCCAGCTTACCATGGATTTGTTTCGGGGATTTTAATGAGGTCTTGATGCATAATGAATACCAAAGTTGTCGTCGTAGGCCGGAATGGCAACTCGAATCTTTTCGAAAGGCCTTGGATTACTGTGGACTGTCGGATATGGGATACAGAGGGAATCGTTTCACTTGGAACAGAACAGCAGTCAGGCCATATACACAACGAGCTCGACTTGATCGAGCTGTATGTAATCAACTTTTGTCGCAGGTTTTTACCTGGCATAGAGTGTTTCATCTCCCAACTCATGTTTCGGATCATGACATGCTGGATATCCAGTTTAGCAAGGTTCAAAGCAGATCGCCGAGAGGATTGAGAAGGAGGCCGTTTCGATTTGAAGCTCACTGGGTCAAGTCCGAAGAATGTGAAAATATAATAAAAGAATGTTGGTGTGATGATATTGAATCTATTCTTGAAAAGTTGAAGTCATGCGAAGTTGGCTTATTGAATTGGAGCAAACTCTCTATTGGCAACCTCACCAAAAACATAGACAGCACAAAAAGGAGCTTCACAGATTAAAGAATGGAGAGATTACGGCTGAGGTTAAGGTCCGATTAACTAAGTTGCAGGAGAGGCTGGATTCATTACTTGACCAGGAAGACATTCGATGGAAGCAACGGGCCAAACAACACTGGTTGAAAGAGGGAGACAGAAACACTCGTCTTTTCCACGCGTATGCATCAAAACGAAGAGAGACAAATTTGATATCAGCTCTCCGAGATGGAGATGGTAACCTCCAGAGCTCCCCTGAGGCGATTGAAAGCATCATCTCGAATTATTTTAAGGAACTTTTCTCAGCCTCCTCAGTGAATGAATCAGCTTTGCACCAAGCTCTAAGCAGAATACGACGAAAGGTCAGTCTGGAGATGAATGAAAGGCTTGCGCGATCTTTCACTACTGCAAAGGTAAAAAACGCTATTAAATCTATGCATCCTTTTAAATCACCAGGGCCTGATGGTTTTAGTCCAGTCTTTTATCAAAAATTTTGGCACATTGTCGGTACTGAGATCACTAGCTTTGTTTTAAATTTCTTAAATAATGGGCTGTTTGTAAATAGCACCAACTACACCCACATAGTCCTAATTCCAAAAATACAATCTCCTGATAAAATAACCCAATTCCGTCCTATAAGTCTTTGTAATGTTGTTTACAAGATTGCATCAAAATGTCTAGCCAATAGGTTGCAAAACACTCTGCCTGAGGTCATTTCTGAGTCTCAATCAGCTTTTATCCCTGGACGTCTCATCACAAATAATGTTTTAGTTGCTTATGAGACACATCATTGTATGAAGCATAGGGTGCTAGGAAATAGAAAATTCATGTCAGTGAAGCTAGATATGAGTAAGGCGTCTGACAGAGTTGAGTGGAGTTTTATCTAGGAGATTATGAAAGCTCTGGGCTATTTAGATTCTTTCATTAGCAAAATAAAAAAGTGTGTCTCGACGACTACTTGTTCCTTCTTGTTGAATGGTTGTCAATTTGGATCTCTGACTCCAGAAAGGGGCCTAAGGCAAGGAGATCCCCTCTCTCCTTATCTATTCATTATCTGCTCGGAAGTATTTTCACTAATCCTGCAGAATCTTCAAGCTACGGGGAGATTACATGGGGTTAAAGTGTCAGACTCAGCTCCTTCCATCTCCCACTTGTTCTTCGCAGATGACACACTCCTCTTTGGCGAGGCAACACCCGAGGAAGCAGGACACTTGAAGTTTGCAATCTCATTGTATGAGTCTATTTCGGGGCAAAGAATTAACTATGACAAGTCAGGAATTTACTTCAGCTCTAATGTGGGGGAGGATGAAATCAACTCAATTTGTGCAACCCTTGAAATCCCCCGGGTCTCAGGGCATGGTAAGTATTTAGGTCTCCCAACCTTTATTGGCAGGAATAAGCGAGAAGTCTTTAGTGACATAAAAGACCGAATCTGGAAAAGAATTCAAGGCTGGAAAGAAAAGAATTTAACTAGAGCTGGCAAAGAGGTGCTTATTAAATCCGTTATTCAGTCTATTCCGGCATATACAATGTCATGTTTTCGTATCCCTAATAACATTTTAGAGGAAATCGAAGGCATGGTAGCTGAGTTTTGGTGGGGGGGAGAAAGACGGTTCTAAGAAAATGCATTGGATGTCTTGGGACAAATTGGCCATCAGCAAACAAAAGGGTGGACTCGGGTTTCGCAACCTGTACTCTTTTAATCTCGCCATGCTCTGCAAGCAGTCCTGGCGGTTGATCACACATCCATCCTCGCTGCTTTCTAGAATTTTGAAAGCCAAATACTTTCCAAACTCCTCCTTCTTTGATGCTGAATTGGGAATCAATCCTTCTTGGTCCTGGCGTAGCATTTTGGAAAGCAGAAAGGTACTTCAGCTGGGATGTTTAAAGAAAATTCGATCCGGCATCCAAACGAAGATTTGGCTTGATCCTTGGATTCCCCGAGCTTCTGATTTCATGGTCCAGAGTCCATGTACAACCTCCATGCCGGATGCTCCAGTATCATCACTCCTTGACAGTACAACGGGCTCTTGGAACTTTGACCTCATTAGATCAACCTTCTCCTCGGCAGAAGCTGACCTGATTCTTGAAATGGTACCGGGAAGAGATGATCATCCAGATGTATGGAGTTGGTTTTTCACCAAAAGTGGGAAATTCACTGTTCGATCTGCATATCATGCGATTCTGGAGGCTGAATTCTCTCCGATTACAAGCCCTGCAGCTTTGTCCGTGACTACAAATCCCCCACCGCTTTGGAAGCGCATTTGGAAGCTGATAATTCAGGGTTGACTACACCATTTTCTATGGTCAATGTGTAACGAAACACTACCAGCACCGGAGAATTTAGAAAGACGGCATCTATCTCAGCCCAGTCTATGCGTAAATTGCAACAACCCAGACTTGTCCACAAAATATCTTTTTTTCGAATGCTCCTTTGCCTCGGCAGTGTGGCGAATCGCAAGGCTAGACACCTTGATCCAGCAACACCAGCAAGACAGAGAGAGCGAATGGACTCGAACCCTAATCCTCAAGCTGGAGATTGTAGAAGTGGAACTTGTTGCTACCATACTGAACTGTATATGGTTCAAAAGGAATAAGGCGTTGCATGAGAATGAGCTGATCGCTCCAGCAGAAACAGTGTCAATGGCAAGCAGTATGAGACGCAATTTCCTGAATGCCAATCTATGGCCAGAACGGACGTCGAGTGCTCTCCAATCTCATCCAATTTTGGGACGGACTCCGGACAGCACAAAAGTCTGGTTTGACGGGGCGATTTCCCGGCTACACAAATGTGCTGGAGTGGGTGTTTGGTTTGCTGATGCCGCAGGAAATTTTGTTGGAGGAGTAACAAGGAAATTCCAGGCATACAAGACTCGGGTATTGCTGAATCGTTGGCACTCAGAGAAGCCCTATTCTTTGCAAAAGAACACAAGCTCGTGAGTTTCTCGATCATGGGCGACTCAATCAACACAGTCTTGGCAGCATTAGAGGACGTCCAAGACCTCAACCAATTGGATCCGGTGATGAAAAACATTCATAGTCTGATCCATTTAACCCATTCCTTAGGGATTTTTTGGATTAGACGACAAGAAAATAAGATAGCTCATGATTTTGCATTTGTAGCCAAGAATAGTGATACCGAATGTTCTGTTTGGTCGCATATCCCCGCGACTTTTTTTCAAACGTAGCTGGACGATTTCCAGCAAAAGTGAATGAATGAAAATTTTCCTTTCAAAAAAAAAATAATAATAATAATACAAAGAGGTAAGACCGATTAGATAACAAATGCAATGAATCCACTAGTGACATAATTAAAATTTCAAGACATTGTTAACCTTCAGTTATGTAATTCGCCAAAAAAATAAATTCCCAGACATTTTTCAAAAAGCCACAGATAAGTAATGTACTTTTGAAATTTCTAGAATTTGCAGGAAAAATAATGACATGACATCTCCAAATTCAGCCCATTCCAAAATCCTATTTAAAAGGGCAAAACTTCTATGATACAAGGAAAGTTGTAAGGAACATAGAAAGCTTCCAGAAACTATGAGTTAAGTTCATTGTTGCATAACAAAATTCACACTAAATTTGCTTTAGTTTAACAAGCAAAAATGAAAATCCACGATGAGTACTTCAGAGATGATTGAGATCAAGCACCAATATCTTGGATTAACTCAAAACCCCTCACTGATCAAGATATCTTCCACGCTTTCTGGAAGGAATGAGCTGCTGATTATTGTTATTTGGAGCAGTTCTTTCTCCTTCCTGATTGAACCTTTCCTATATGTCAAAAAATTATGTTAAGAATTGTACTCATTCAGTCCTTGATGATTTAATTGGAAACTTTAATAAAGATTATGAACCCTAATTAATTAAGAAAAAGATTAAATAGAAAAAATGTGTTTTGCTTCAGCACAATCTGTGATGCATGAGAATCCATATAGCTAATAGCTTTCTAAGTTGGTGTATTTGTTACTTTCGGATAAATAAATTTTGTTTAGTAATATTGTACCAAGTGATTAATATATTGACGAACTACTTTCCTGAAGATCGTTCTCTTTACAAGAAAAATATTTTTTTTTCTTTTTTTTGGAAGTTCAATAATACAATGAACTATTTTTCTAAAATAGATGTATTGATGCTCATGATTAGCATCCTACAATTATGATCGTATTATGTATAAGTATACCTGGTTATTAGCTCGAGAAGATGGGGTTGGAGGGATCATAATTTCCCGAGTATTTGGACCCGTCCCAATTCGAATTGTTCCAGGTCTAGAGTCAGATCCCAACCACAAGCCTTGGTAGTTGGACGGCGCTCTTAAAGGGAGAGAGTGTGCAGGTGGACTAATATGTTGGAACATGAAAAAATAAACACGACAAAAAATTTCATTTAATTACATTTAGAAACAAATAAAAGGAGTGAAAAATTGACGCTTAGTACAGTTAATGAAGTAGGCACCTCCACTGTAAGTCAGGACCAAACCATAATGTTGTTGGTTGATGCTTTCCACTTGAAACATTAAGGGGGGCGACCTGAGTGTTTTCTGCCTGCTGAGTCCTAAATTTGGAATGCAATAATAAAGAAGTTAATTATTTATGTTTAAAAAAATTAAGGAACAAGCAATAAATATGGAGACTTTGGTCTTGAATGATTAATTCAATCTGAATTTCCAAACCGAACAAAAGCATGAATGTTATCTATACATGTCATGCATCTTTCGTAGTCATCCATTCCAAAAAAATCGACCATGTTTTAATTCAAGAAACATAACTTTTTTGCCAGAACAAAAATAGTATAAATAGATCAAGTTCATAAGCTCTATAAGTTAATTGTACCAATGTAATATAACGTCTCGCGAGCCATTATGTGCAGCTTGGGCAGTGTACATCTGTGAGTTGCTATTACTTCCACTTATTGCCTGATTTTCAGACCAAAAAAAGAGTAGATTAAAGATAATTAATACAAAACTTTACAAAAAGGAATAGATCAAAGATAATTAATACAACAAAATGAAAAAAAAAAGGAAATGATTAAATTTGTTTCTTTTCTTACTTTTTTTTGTGGGTGTGGGTGTTTGAAGTTATAGCAATTACTTTTGTTTAATATAAGGACTTTTTTTTTGTTGACTAGAATGAGAAACAAAATTATCGTATGACCATTTTTTTATTTTTTCGATACAAGTATTGAATAAAGTGATGAATTTGAAACTAAGTTTATATATGTAAAGTATATATAGGATGAAACAGATATATGTACCATTGGAGAATAGTGTTGGGGGTTGAGAAATACTGGATTTTGTGCTCCATTATACGTACTGTCGAAGCTGATCAATTCATTAACAGAAGAAGATCTCGGAGCAATTTCCTCGTGTTGTTCCAGATATGCTACCAACTCAAAAGGATTTAATTCTGTCTTCTGACCAACTTCATCCGTCATGTTGTTCTGGTGAAAAGTTAAAGAATCAAAGGGACTATGAAGATTAGAAACCATCTAGACCACTTTTCAAAAATTATAATAATTATTTTTTTATTGAAAATGTTTCTCCTAAACGAATTTAAAACCCTCTCTTGTAAATCTTTGATGTTATGGTTACTGATCTAAATTAAAACCGTAGGATTTTATTTTAAAAGAATGTAATGAAAAATAAAACGAAGAAGTAAGTACATATGATACGTACGGTGGGAGGTTGGGAGTTTGAATCCACTAAAGATCTGTCATCGAAATCAATTGAAGCAATCACATCGTCCACATCTATGTGTTCAGTGATTTTAACCTACAACGATGTAACAATCAGTCATACTTTTAACTTTAAGGTTAAAAATTATAGAATCTTGAGATTATAATTATTTTCTCTTACCATCTTCTCAATTCTTGAATCGGCCGGTCCTTTATGGTACCTTAAAATTTTTATAGCATTTGACCAAAAGAACGAATCTGTAAAGACATTTAGAGATTAACGATAGTTATACTCTCTACCAAACACTTACGTAACTTAGTCGCACGTGTCATTTTTTTATTTTTTTTTGGTTGTAAGGATACATAATTCATTTCAATAAATGTTTTTTTTTTCAAAAGGAGCGAGTATCATTCAATATGCTTGTAATCCAAAATGGATTTTTCCAATGAAGCCAAGAACATCTAATCACTCTCCTTGGGATTGTTAAAGACAAAAGTTTCAATGTAGTACTGTATTAGGGTTTTTAAAGGAAACTAGCAACACATTGAAACATGGGAAAAGCTTAAATGGACAAAAATTTGATGAGAAGAAAACTTTTATCAGTTTGAAACTTCTCTTTGCAGCAAATGAAGTGAGCTGATGGTAAAATGAAAAATAAAAATAATAGTAAAAAAATTATGAAAATAATAGCAAAACAGCAATTTGTTCTTATCAAGTTTGAAATAGACTTTTTATCAATGAGATGATTAATCCCCCCACTATTAATTGCAACTGAGTAAAATAAATATAAATGGATCTGCAATACTAATATTCAACCCAAATTTTATAATTTTAGAAAGTTATATGACAAATGAAATTAATCTGAAACACCTTCAATGGGGCTAGCTATCTGAAAACTGCAAGTTAAACAGTAGATAATAAAAAAGAATCAGTGGCCGCCTGGATTTTTCAAATCAAAGGATAAATTTGAAATCAAGGATAGGGGTACTATATAATTTATACAGGGGCAAAAATAAAAGCAATATACCTCGTGATGAATAATGTTCATTTTCTGTTGGTCGTGAAAAAGAGATCAAATCAAGAAGGATCAGATGTGTGTGTGTGTCTGTGTGAAAAGTATAGATTAATGGATTGGTAAAGCAATTGAGTTTTGGAGTTTAAGTAGTTAAGGTAATATGCATGAGTGATGACACCTGTTTATTGTGTTGTTACATTTGGTGAAATCCTCGGAGTCGGAGTGGCACCTCATCTTCAAAACAAAGCAAAACATTATTGCTACTTTGCATTACAAAAATCTTGCCTTTTATCTTTTGTTTTTACATCTTTTTTTTTTTTTTTTTACTGATTTGCAATCATATTATCTCATTGCATTCATTTATTTATTTATTTTATTTTACCTCGTTCCTTCACCCACTCCACTCTCTTTTTCGGCATCATTTTATGATATATGAGTAACAACAGTGACGATAAATGTTTGGACTAACAACGTAGTCGGCTACTTGACTCCTTGTGTAATTATTAATCGAAGTTTGTTAGAAAAGAGATTATTGAACAATGTATATCTCTCACAATTATAGATTAGATATAGGACATCTATTCTATTTAAATGTTTGAACTTCAATTCAACTCCAATTTGTTGTTTCCCTCTTTCTGTTGCTTTCTTAATCACACGTTGTTGCCCACAAGTATTTACAATAGTTAATTCTATCTTTTTCCAGTGTAATAACACTTTTTATAATCTGCTTAGTCAACATTTATCCATCCTTAGGGCTCACAAGATTCGAGGGCTCAAACATAATCACCTAATATTTAGTAAATTTACAAGATTTTCTGGGCGTAGTTGTTAACTAAGTCACATGGCTATTCACTCCCCAGTTGTACAAGTTTTGCAGCACAAGAAATAAACTTGAAATCAAGATAAACTTACCCCATTCAGTCAATAAAGCTAATTTTCTCTTTATTTCCTTAATTCCATCTAGATTTAGTGCCAAAATAGTGTAACTAAGCTTGGAGTTACTATCATGCTTCATTTGCGCGTGCGCCTGCACACACACACATACACAAAACTATAGCATACCCAAAGGTATCAAGATAGGTTAATGAAGGAACATTGACAGTGTAATGAAAACAAAAATAATTTTGGGAAAATAATAACTAGCAAAGTGATTGGTAAAATTTGAATATGAAATTATAACGCTTCGTCAAATTAACTTTGAAGAGAAATTCCTAAAAATCTTGAATCTAACCTTTATACACAAAATTCCAGAAGAGTAAAACTCACAACAACTTTAGATATTGCGACAACTGATTTTTTTTTTTTCTTTTTCCCATATATTCGACGTCGAACTCTTGAAATAAAAATGACACTATAATGGAGAAGATTTTAGGTGAGAGGAAGGGCCGGTAATGGGGAAAAGGAAAGGGGGATAAAATGTATAAACATGTGGGACTGTCTACAAAAAAGTACCTTTCTTCTATAGGTTTAAAGTTATAATAGACACTCCATAATTTCAACCCCATAGAATACTAATTAATAGCATTGCCTGCTAATTAGTAGTATTCTATAGTGATAATAATTAATCTACTTTATCCACTACTACATCACTTCATTAATTAGTTAATTACTACTACTACATCTCTCACTCAAATGGTGAGTCGGGAACAACCTCCTGCTCACCATCGAAACCATAAACCAAATCACATATCTCCTTCGCCTTCTTCAGTCTCTCCTCCTTTGCCTTCTTCCTTGAAGCCTACATTTCGAAGGCTTCATATCGTTCACCCGCTCCAGCCAAACATCCCTGCCCAAATCAACCTGTATTCGATGAAGGGAGTCTCATCCTTATCTGAGCCGCTAAGGTAGTAAGCCTTGCGATCCGCCTTCTCTCTTTGGATTGCCGAAAAAATATTCTAGTAACGCTTGTTGGTGCTTGAAGCGGACCTAGCAAGGTAGGTCTGCAATCCAGCCGCTACCAACACACAAGCCCCGGAGATCGAAGTACCTTGACTGTCGCACCAAGTTTCGGGGTGCGATTGAAGAAATCCATCTGTTCAATATTCTCGCTCTTCTCTAAGATCTCTTAGTTCTTAGCTTGCTTTGCTTTGGGTTTCTTTAAAAAATTTATAATAGACACATTATACTTACTTACCATATTATTCTTATACTATCCACATTTTCCTTTTGTCACATTTTCGACAAAACAAAAATACGACTATTTTTCCAATCCTATCCCTACTCTTTCATCTATTTATGCCTCACACCAACATAAATGGCCAACCTTAAGTGAGACCTTTAGGTTAATGGGTACAATCATCTCCAATACTCCATTCATATTAAATGAATCAAAATAATACAAGATTTACTTCCCTGAATACAGCAAATAACAACAGTGAAAAAATTGAAATGAAATCATTAGTATGTGAAAAGAAAAGTTATAAACATAATCAGAAGAACGTCCATTAACATATTCTAGAAAATTCCATGGGAAATACCATGAGTTAGACAAGAATATTCTAATAAGGAGAACAAATTTAATAAAATTTTAATAACCAAGTTTTAGGAAAAGGAAAGACCTTTTAGTGTTTCCACAAGAGGAATAATTTGTTGATTGATTAAAATTTGATATTTAATTTCAAGGGAAGCGAGGCTCTACGTGCTCGACAAGTCTAAGTTCAGCCAGTTGTCCCGGAGGCCCCAATTTGAACACTCTATCAAATCTTATCCAATTTATATTTTGACTCTTTGTAAATAGGAATAAGATACTATTCATCACTTCATATTGCACAATGTTTTCATTCTTTGGTGGCATAGACAATGGTTAATGTTGTCTCAACTGGACTTTTATATTTAAATAAAAATCTTACAGATCATGAAATTCAATATAATCAATTTCTATCATTGCTTCATAGCGATAAAAAAAAGGCAACGGAGGAAAAGAAAAGACATAATAATAATAGTTAGGGAAAGAAAATGATATCCAAACGATTAGTGCAGCAAACCTCCCCCCCCAAAGGAAAAGAAAGCGTGACTGATCCTAAAGGAACTCAAGTAAATGAAAGCAGAAAATGTCATAATCACATGTACTTGGGTTAGTTTATGTTTAGAGGGATAAAACTGATAGGACAAAAGTTTTAGAAATAGATTCTGTTTGGAGTATTGTATCAAACACATTGTGTGCCAATTTGAATTGTAACATGAAGTTCGGTTTACAAAACCTACTTAGAAGAAGAAGAAGAAATCAAAACCTGCGTAATACTCAGATACATAGACATAACAAGAGTCAAAGTAGACTGTAGGCTGCTATTGCTTCCCCCTTATGGCCGGGTATATTCTAGAAAAAAGACAGATCTGTTTGTTTGGTTTTTTAGATAGTTTTTTCAGATTATTTTAATAATAACTGTCTCATCTCAATTTATCTTTTTACATTTTCAATACATCTTTTTATATTCTCAATATAAAAATAACCTAAAAACACACACTAAAAAAACGAAACAAACATAGCATATGTATAATAATAGTAGAGAGAGAGAAAGGATACAATATTTCTTCCCATTGATTCGGTCTCCCATTCACACACACACACACAGATGTATTATGGCATTTTTAACTTAGAAATAATTTATTTTTTTGTTAAACACAAGAACTAGTTTTCTCTATTAATACATAGTAAATTCATTTTAGAAAGGAGACAGTAGTATTGAATAAAAAGATGAATTTGAGAACTAAATAACTACATGTAAAATATATTTGTATAAAAGTGTGTATATGTGTAGTGTGTACAGCAAAAAGAACTGATGATAAATACAGCAAAAAGAAGTGATGATAAATATAAAATTAAAAAATACTTATCACATCCTGATTTATTCTTATAAAAGTTCAAATTTTATCACTGAAAAGATTAATTATGGTAGTAATTAATTACCATCTACAGTCTAAATAAAATGAAATTTCCCTTAAATTTAACTTCCTTAGAAAGTTCAGTTTGATCAAATTTGATTAGATTTGAGAGAACCTGATATGTACTGGCATATATACTGTACTTAAATTTGAGGATTGGAAAAATAATAGAAAGTAGTACTAGTAGTAGTAGCAGTAGTAGTAGTAGTAGTAGTAATAATAATAATAATAATAATAAAATCATAATAATAATTGATCGATGGGAACTACTACTACTACTACTAATAATATAATAATAGATTGATGGGAACCTAGATCTTTGAAATCAAAGATTACTAAAATAAAATAAAAATCATCTCGTTAGAGAAAAAAACAACAACAAATGTTTTCATTCTCATTCGCAGTGAACAAAATTAATAAATGAAACATTCGTTTGAAATCTCTCAATCCTTACAGTATCTTTGCTGGCTGCGTCGATCTTAATTAAATTGATAAATGTTTTTCCTTGGCACCTGCACGTTGAAAATGAAGCTTGTATGTAAGCTTAAAAAACATGTACAATGTTGTTTAGGAAGAAGATATATTTTTTTTTTTAGGAAGAAACATTAATTCTGAACTGTCTCAACCCCGACAACCTTTGGCAAAATTAACCAGAAAATAAAGTATAAACAAATTTCATGATTGATAAAATGAATGCCACACGTACTAGATACTAGAGCTACACAAATTTGAGCAGCAAAAAATGCAAATTTGTTTGATTTTTGTTTTTTTTTTTTTTTAATTGAGTGGTCAACTTGAAATCAAATCAAATTAAGAGCAGATCTGATAGCGAAAAGACCTTGTGTGTGCGCGCGCAAGGGCGGACTTCCCATAAAGCCAATAAAGTAATGGTTTTAGGTCCCCATTTTAGGAAGACCTAAATTTTAAAAAATTTCTATTATCATACTACCTTAAAATATTAAAATAAATAAAATAGGTTATAGTTCATAATTTTTTTAAAAAAAAACCCTACAAATTTCAATTCCAATTCAAACTCTATAAATTTCGAGTTCTCTTTTTTTTTCTAAAATCTTCTTAATATTTTTAGTTATATCCAACAAATAAATCTTTCTATTTAATAAATAAATAAAGAACTTCTCAATATTTACAAATTACAATCATTCGAAATCTATCCAACTACCAAAAGACTGCTCATGTTACAAATCTATCAAAATAAAGGTGATTTATAAATTTATATTTTTCAGTAAGTTATTCCAAAAAAATACCGAAAATTGCTTACTATATTCATTTAAAACTATAATTTTAAATATTATTATATGACATCACAAACTTAAGTAGTATTTCTATCATTTTTCTCATTAGGTTTAGTGAAAAAATTAATGATCAACTCCTTACACTTGAGATGCACGTGGATTGACCGAACGGTATTGTGTGTCCATATAAAATTTAAACTTTTGTAAATTTACATGTACATCACATGACGCGGAAGGCTCGAGTCAAACTTTTATAAATTTAGAAAAATGCAAAGTTGTTTTTTTCCAATTAATTGAGTGGTCAACTTGAAATCAAATCAAATTAAGAGCGCATCTGATTGCGAAAAGACCTTGTGTGTGTGCGCGCGCTTGCTGAAGAGAGAAGTATGTATCAGCTGCTATTATCAAATCAAAGTACGGATTGATTAGTGGATAACATTTGTTATCCCCTTTACCCTATTAAAGCAGAATACAGGATGTTGATGTGGCAATTTTTTATTAAAAATTTTTTGCTCCAAATGCACCATATTGCATTAACCATTCTGCCACGTGTCATCCCTTTTTAAAAGAAAAAAAAAATTCTTATCCAGAGAAACAAAAACTACTTTACAAAAATAGCTACACAATTTTTTAACTCCTAACATTTATCATTTATCAATCAAATTAAAATAGCATTTAAATTTACCCATAAATTTATTCCCTTTATTACTCCACATTCTTTTGTATGATTTCTGCATTTGGCAGATGATTTTTTTAATTTTAATTTTTATTTTTGGCTAAAAAAGAGAAAAAAAACCAAATGTGTTGCTATTTTATTTTTTCCAAATCAAAAATTCATTTATCTCTTAACACAAAATTAAAGTAGAGGGGTGCTGCCCGGGCAGCATCTAGTCTGTTGTTACATTTGGTGGAGACCTAAAAGGGCAGCTCATCCTAAAAATAAAACAGTTGCCACTTTGCATTGCTTTTTCAACTTAAACTTTATTTAGGTAATCTTACCTTTGATACATTGTTTTTTAATCTTTCTTTTCACTGTTTTGTAGATCTTCTCTTTGGTTGTTTTGTGGTTACCATGCCCCTTATGCCATGGGCGACACACGTGCTACGTTGCAATTGGACAATTGGTCAAAGTATAATGTCATTTCTGTATCACCAAATTTTACTTTTATATATTCAACGTTCTGCGTATGTGAATTTCTTTTTTTATAGAAATATGAATTTCATTAAGTTGCTGGGAACTCGGTCAACACAGAAAGGTACAAAGTTTGGGATTGAATCCTAAAATTTTTATAGTCAAAGCGGCAAGAACAGGTGAATGCAGTATAATTGGGAATGTGACAGAGCTGACAGACGATTCCCAGAGGTACATTCACAGAGAAGAAGAAGGGTAACCATGAAGTCCACCTCGATTGCGACGGGGATGTGACATTTTTTTTTTTGAAGCAACTGAAGAGAGAAGAGATTAGTAGGACAAAAAGGTTTTCAACAGTAGGAAAGGATGCATGGCGGTAAAATAGGAAGCACGCGTGCCAGAAGAAATTATGAATTGCCAACAAAAGAAAAGGATTCAATTGTCACAATTATTAATCAGAAGACTCAATTGAACGAGCCAGAAAATTACCAGGATAGATTTGCACAAATCAAAAATAAGAGGACTAATAAACACAAAAGGAAAACTATGAGAACTAGATGTGAAATTTAATAAAGTGTAAGAACTGAAATAATAAAACCTGGAAATTGGTCAAAGTGAAGCGTGAAGAGATGATAATGATGATGATGGGGATGATGATGGCAACGGGCAACACCAAACCGCAACAAAAAAAAAATCAACGTAGCCTTCATTACAACAACCAATCAACAAAGGCAACGACAGCAAGCAGCAACACCAATAAAAGCCGCAACAATCAAGAGAGGGCAGCGGTAGCCGCGGCAAGAACAAAGGGAGAAGACCAGGGGGCAGCAGCAGCAGAGGCCTGAAAACGACAGTGGGCGGCAGCAGCAAGAAGTAATAAATCAACGAACACAAGACGGCGTCAACGTCGGCAACAATAGCAAGCGAAGAAGCTGACTATGGAAGAAGAGGACAGCAAACAAAGGGAGAAACAAGGATTGTGGTCGACAAGGAAGAGCACACGGAGGCAAGAGGCCAAGGATTTTGGTCGGTGGCGGAGAAGGAGAAGAAAGAAGCCACGACCGAAAAAATAAAAAAACCATTGCTCTGTACCAACTTAGAATAATAGGAATTGTATTTCCATGTATTATAATGTACAATATATAAGAGTATATATAGACAATAACAAACCTTATACAAAAGATTATTACCATAAATATAATTATTATAATACTCAAAGTCCCTAATGTTTTTGCCAAATTGTGTTAGGGCATGAGTAAAAACATTAAAACGGCGGTTGATCCATTTACAATCAAACTCGACATAATTTTTAAAAGGTGCTTTTAAATCCTCCACGATGAGACTACTACCTGATAAATCCAACTTTTCAGAGTTCTGAATAATTGATGTTGAATCCGCGTATGTGAATTTTAATTTGTCACTCGGTCTCTTCACCCATATAATTTTTTTTTTTCTTTTTTGTAGGAATCACTTTACTCGTTATATATACATGTATCTATTGAGCAGCGCAACTAAAGTGCAGCGTCGTGATTAAGCGCCTCCCTTGCTTATAATACATCAGAAGGTAGAGTGATTTTGAGATACGTACATGACCTTAATTTAAACTTTAACTAAAATTTTCTTAGAGTTATTATATATTTACCAAAATAATTACAAGATAATGGTTGAAGAGTTTTTAAAAAAAACAATAAAAAAATAGATGATCTCGATGAGAATCAAACCTTCAACATCTCAATACTAACCATCCCTATCCTAATCCCCTAACCACCCCATTCAATTTTTCCGCCCCTCGTTGAAGAATTTCTTTGCAAAGCAAGTATTACTTTGCATCCATAACTTTTCGAGAGTTACATCATCACAACTGCCTCTTGTGTAGCCTTACAATTCACCTTTCCAATTTGTGAGGCAAACATGGAAGTTATAATGAGAAATAGAGCTCTAACAGAAACAAGATGATGCAAATTAAGTAATTCAAATTTGCGTATTAATTTGTGGGCTAATTGCTTTTTAAAACGCATTACAATCTAGGAAAATTTGGTAATTTGCCACTATAATTCTATACTAAAGATGATATAAATCTAAGAAAAGTACTATAACGGATTATCTAACTTTTAGGTACGGTTGGTTTCGGTACTTTTTGAATAAACTGGCAGCTGTAGAACAATGGATTGAAGATGAATCTTGTGCGCATATCATGCAAGAGAGGCGGTTTGCGTTCATGCATCATACGTATGTCTTATGTCTTAACCATTCCTTGTTAATCTCTTTCCCACCATCAACCCCGAGTTTGGCAATCCAATGCTTACCCCTCTTCTGCGCATCTGTTTTTGTTTATTTTTGGTTTGGCATTGAGATAGCTTGATCTTGAGATAGGCTACTATGGAATAAAAGACAAACTGACCATATATAGTGTTGTTGAGGCATATATAATCAGCGTTGCTAGCCGGATTCAAGCTAACTACCCGAGCTATCTATTTTGTGTCGCATTTTCTTCACTAATGGAATTCTATTCCTTAAGCTATAACTGGCTGTATATAACTGCATTTGAACAAAGATTTTTGTTTGATTAGAATCTTGGGAACAACATGTTTTCTTGCTCGTCTTTGCTAGTTCTTCAGGAGAGAAATATGAGTTCGAACATACTTGTTCCTGGGAAAGACATTTTTTTCATCTGAGAATATGCAAATATTGAGTGCAGCACACAATACCAAACCAAAACACAAAAATAAAAGATAGTTTGAGTGCAGCACCAATTAATTCTTACTACCCTAAAAAATCGTATGGAATGTGTTCAGAAATTTTTTTCTTTCTTTCACTCCTCACTTTGCAAAGATAAAATGAAACCCTTGATACCAGTTAATAAGCTCTTTGTACAAGGGCCATGATAAATTACATGAAACCCCTCACGTTTTCCTTTTCTTACATGATAAATTACAACGTAAACAAAAGAGTTGGAATAGATTTCAAGCTCACAAAAGTTTAATTTTTCTTCCCATTTAGACTTTTAGTAATGGTATTCAATACCAAACCTAAAAGATCCAAATAAATAAACATACCCTTCCTTACAAACAAACTAGCAAGTAACATCCATTTTCATATGCTCAAGGCTGCAATTTACAATGGTAGTCTAATAACGCGTATTATCAAATACCCAAGGTTCATTCTGAAAAAGCTCACGGCCGTTCATTGGCACAAGCCCAGCAGCTATATCCTCTGCACGCTTTCTTTCGGTTTCAACTCTCTTAGCTGATGCATCAGCATCCTGCAAATCAATATAAACAAGTTATAATCCAGCAAGTCATACCTACTACACCAACGCATTCCAGCTTCAAAGCCATATTGATAAGTTATATCTTATAAAAGTCCAAAAAAAGCACATATTAACATCCCAGATATGAAATTAATGATCATGCACCAAGAAATAAGGACTTTACACAAAAGTGCAAGTATCACAGCTCGCAAGCAATCTTTTTCAGATGCACTTTAAATAGGCAAGGAATAAAGCCCCAAGGAGCAGTCGGTAACTCTCATTTGTCCGAAGACAAACCAACATTATCTGCAATATTAATTTGATAACGCTAACCCCTCAATTCCCTAATATCAATCAAAAGCAAGGAAAAACGCAAACTAAAGAAGAAAACACTAAGCACACAACAAAAGGGATAAGTGGGCCTACAACTTTGAAATTCCTCAAGTGATTTAGAAACATGCAGTTTACTTCCCTTCCCTGTCACTGCTTCACAGCGTTCAAACAGACAAGAGAGGAAAAGAAAGGGAAAAACATAATAATAGCCAGAGAAAGAAAATGGTATACAAATGAACATTTGGAGGAAAAAACCAAAAAATAAGGAAAAGAAAGTTGTGATTAATTGCGAAGGAACTCAAGTAAAGTAAAGCATGCAATTTCCCTTGTGCTCAGTTAGCTTCTACTGAGTGATGTGCAAGCTAGAAAGACAGATCTTTTTTTTTTTCGGTACAATGAAGGAGGCAAATGCCTAAAATACTAAACTATCACACACGTCGACCAAATCTTGTTTCCGAAAAAGTGAGATCAAAGGTACAGCTTGTGCTAAATCATCATTCCCAAAGTTCGGCCCTTCATGAGTATCTACTCAACAGGCTTATGATGCCTCGAATAATCCTTCCGTGAAAATGCAAGACACCTTTTTGGATGTATGATGTTTGCATTTCAAATAATACCACCATATCTGTGTGAGCTATCTGTGCGAGGCTTATGTATGATATCTTTTATTGAATATGAAGTAACAAGAGATTAACAAGGCAAATCAGTTGTTAGCTTCTTGCCTCATTGTGTAGTCATTTCTCCAAGGTTGCTATAAAAGAGGATTCTTAAACAACATATAGCTTGCACAGTTATAAGTATAGGCCATCTATTCCATTGAAAAGTTTTTACCTCAAGTCAACTCCAACTTGATGTTTCTCTTTCCACTGATTTCCTAATCCCCTGTTTCCGCCCCATTTATAACTAGAGTTGAGCTATCTTTCTCCATGTTCTAACACTTTCCATAATCTGTTTAGTGTATTTTCACTTATCCTTGGAGGTCAAATGGGTTTAAGGGCTCAATCATAACCATCTAATGCAGTCTTATTCATGTTAAATAGGTAACATGGCTTTTTACACCATAATTGCATAAAATTTGACACCAGAATGACCTCAATTAATAAAACAAAGCTAATCTTTCTCCTTCTCTCCCTAATTCCATCCAACTTAAGTACTAAATAAGCACAATCGTCCCCAATACTCCATGTCTATCAAGCGAAAACAAAATATTAAACCAGTATCAAGGATTTACAATAACAGCAAACAACAGCGGCAAACAAATTGAATTGAATGATTGGCATGCAACGAAAAGTTAGGCTTCAGATAAGAACAACGCCCAATAACGTTTCTCCTGTCCCCTCGGCAATACTAACCCACATAGAAATTCAATCAAGCGAAAGCAATTACCTAAACAAGGATATTCTAAAAACGAGAACGAATTTTTAAGAAAATTCTACGAGAAGGGGAAAGACCTTTTGGCGTTTCCAGGAGAGGAACTGAGCGGGAGTAATGCGATTGAGGGAACTCCGATTCGTTGTGTCTCGTGCTACCGCGTCTTGTTCCGGTCGGATATGGTTAAGCTCTTCTTCGGCTCCCATTATGGCGTTGCCGGTGGGTTTTGCCGCTTCGTCGTGTTTTCTCGCGGCCGAAGTATTCCGTTTTGTTCACCAATTAGGCGATTTATGTATATATTGGAAAACACCCCACGAAGTTTTGTATGTTAGTTGATTTTCCCCCAAATATTTCAAATTTCAATTAATAAAATCCCAATGTTTGGGAGGAAAATCACGCTTTCAACTGCTGTAAATCTACCTTGACTCTTGAAATTTTTTCTAGTATATATTGCTTGTGGGCACTAGATCCTCTGTTCCACTTTCTTGTGATACTCACTGCGACAAAATCCAATTAATCGTTACAAATTATATAATATGGTAATACATATACCATTCACAAGAGGATCATGTGCCTCTTGTTTGTGGAACTATCATTTGAGAATCCTAGACTGTAAGTACTTGAAAGTTAAGTGGGAGGAAGAAAAAAGAAAAACTCTTAATAAAAAATATACACCATCCGTTCCATAATTATTCTTCAGTTTAGTTTTCATTTTTAGTTCAAATTGTACTGAAAATAGAATCTCAAACTGGACAATAATTTTAAGACAGAGGGAGTAATAAAGATTATAGTTCGAAAATTTGTCTGAGTAGCAATGGTTTAATATTTATTCTCTTTTTTTCCTGAAGAAGAATAGTTCAGCTTCCGTGTTCTAATATTCTCTTGGAACTACGGAATGGGCAGGAAGACCAGGAAAATCTTAATAATATGTTAGGAATAAGCTTTTTGTATAGTCAATATTCTCAGTCTGTATGTATGTATGAATCAATGCATGGCGGAATTGTAATGCATCAAGGTGAGGGTTTATCTACATTGGAAAAGATTTAATCTATTTCACCAAAAAAAAAAGATTTAATCTAGTTTTTAAGTTGGTAGGACTAATTGAGTAGTTGACTGTGACTTATAAGAGAAACTAAGTTATTTATAACATTTAAATAAAATCGACCAAAAAAAATCCAAAGCGAACAATCATTTCAGAATGGACGGTGTATTTTAGTATGATATTACTGTATTTTTTTGCTAAAATGTTTTTATTTTATATTTTTTCTCATTTCTTGGGTAAAAAGCTAGTGGAGAGATATTAAAACTACTCTCCATAACATAAACGTTAATTGGAGCCAACAAAACCCTACAAATCTAAATCATGTTTGCAGCTTTGAGTAAGAGATTCTGCTCGGCCACAAACTCTACTACTAATCTGAACCCGGGATCCATTCCAGCATCGGTCCCCGTAGTTCCGGCATCAGCACAGGTTTCAAAGCTTGTTCCTCCGATAAGAGGTTCGATCCCAAATGAATACTTTGGGAAAATCGATTTGTATCTCCACCGAACCCTAACCGGTTGCAAAATTGTGTCGATCTTTGGGGGATTAGTCGGCGCCGGAATATTGGCTTACGTAGGGTATCCTTTGTGGAAGGTGAAAGCTGCTGAGTTTCAGAAGATGTCTGATCTGCGAGTGTATGAAAAGGAGAGGGAATTGGAGGCCATGGAAATCAATGTGGCAACCCAGGAAACATATTTGGAATACATAGCCAAGAAGCTCAATAAACAAGATAAGGTTGCCCCCGCCTCTCCGCCGCCAACCCCAGCCGCTTGAATAGTTGAATTTGTCTTTTATATATTTTCACATTGGATTACTTATTATATACTTCTTCCGTCCCATAGTTATTGTCCAGTTTGAGTTTTCATTTCTAGTTAAAATTATACTCTCTCTGTCTCAAAATTATTGTCCAGTTTGATATTTCACTTTTATTACAATTTGAACTAGAAATGAAAACTCAATCTGGACAATAATTATGGGACGGAGGGATAACTAAAAGTGAAATCTTAAACTGGACAATAATTTTGGGATAGAGTGAGTATGTAGTAATTTTAAGTTTTCTTAGAATGTTTGGATTAGTTAATGTCCTGCTTTTGGGGTATCGTCAGTGATTTTTGTTTTAAAGTAATAAATATATATACAACACCCTTGATGTCATATGGAGAGAAAAAAAAATATTGTTAATCCATAAAATGATTTATGTATTGTGAAGAAGTATTATGCTACAATGGAATTGCTTAGCTTTTGTCAATTTCCTTTGCTTTCCACAAATGACAAAAAAAGTGAAAAATGTAGAATTTCGAGCCATATGTATATCACAACGAGGTTTTGTGAGGTGTTGAAGGGAAGCGCTTAACTGGTAGCCTATTGTATCCAACCATGAAAGAAAAATTAATCAGTTATGTTGTGGCGAAAATAATGGTTATGTGTTTGGCCACACTGCGACCAATGTGTTTTTATCATTTCCTGTACCTTACTTTTTTTTTACTACCTAATCTACCCCTAGTAACTACCCCCTCAACCACACACCCCCTCCTCCCCTCCCCGAAAACTCCCTACCAATTTCCCACTCTATGGGATTCGATCATGGGTCATCCCCTATCCACCACAACCGTTGGGGCAACGTTCGATTCCCCTACCTTACTATTTTCATTAGCTGGAGAAAAAGACAAAAGTAGTGTTTAAAACCTGGTGTGCTTAGCGTCTAATGATCATCGCAACATGCTAGAATTTTGTCGTCCTGGAAGTGTGTTCACCTTTCTAAAATTGAGAGACAAATGAAGGGATATAAAAGTGACGGAGTTTAAAAAATAGATTCTGCTTGGAATATTGTATCAAACACATGGAATTGTACTGAAGTTGGGTTTACAACTCCTTTTGATGTATTGGCAGAGAGATTGCTAATTGCTAAAGTGTATTATTGAAAGTTGAAACTACTGCAAGTCGGAAACTGTGATATATTTTTAGGCGTTTAAAATACAAGACACTGTACTGCATTCTTGATTGAAATACAAGAGATTTGTGTTCTTCTTTAATCATGATTTCTACTCCTCAAACTATTTAATCCACAACTCTTTTATAGTTTTATGAGAAAAATTCAGGTCACCGCCAAAAAAAGAAGAGGTACACAAGATCTGATGCCAAGTGAAGCGTCAATTCAATTATATTATACATATATAATGCTTGCATTTTGAAATTGGAAAGTAGCAAAGATAAAAACTATTTGCTGACTGAAATCTGAACTACTCATGTTAATTTTTTGTTATTCCAATTAACAACTGTTAAGGGTCGACATTTTCGAATCAAAACAAGCCTCAATTGCATCTTCAACCGTGAGGAAAATCCTCCCTCTCCCAAGCTTATCTACCAATTTGGCCAACTTCAATTTAGAAATTACATGCCATCTTGGACTTGCTAATGCCAACTGCAAAAGTAAGAAAATGGAATCAACACAAAACTAGATTAAATCATTTTGGACCAGAAAAAATAAAAACCGAATTCCCAACTAGATGTTAGATGCCTTTCAGCGTAATTACAATCTCTCACTATGTCAAGTAATACGTGGCTAAGTGAAAAAGAGAAACTCACTTCGGTTCCACGTGAAAGTAACTCCTTGTGCAATTCTTCTAAAGCAATGATTCCTGAAGTATCAATGCTCACTACATCTGTTAACCAATATTAATTAGTTCAGATTCCATTGATAAGCATAATTTCTCATAGAAAATTGAATTTATATTTGTGAATATTTCGTTTAAATTTCTGTACAAACTAATTTAGATTTCAAGAATGATTATCGCAACTTACTGGAGAGGTCAATGATCAACACATGAATGCTGTCCTTTGTGTTTTCTTCATTTTCCTCGGTCAACAACTTCAATATCCTAGTGATCAAGGAAAACACCATTTCGTCATTACTAAAATGAAAAATTAATTGCTTCCTCCAATCAGTTCATTCCGTCATTAGCAAACACGACACAACATTATTTCGAAACAGAGAAAAAATAAATAAATTACTTACTTTTCTCTAATGAAATTAGCATTGGCAAAACAAAGTGAAGGAGAATTGATGCGCTTTATCAACAGCCCTGAAATTTTAGTGGCCATCGGATATTGCTTCACATCGCAAAAGCTATTCGTCCCTGGAACTCTTCCCAATACTTCCGTGCTTGGTCGAATTGATGTTACTAATACCTTCATGAAAGAGATGCAAACCTGCAGCAATTTAAAGAACTTATTAATCATCAAATTTGTTTCATATTCTTTTAACAAATAGATTTTCCCCATTTTTTTTATTCATCAACAATGAGTTGATATACTAACTTTCACAACAAAATTGACTATTTTTTTGAACAGAAAAAAAAAAAAAAGAAGATAACTGGAGCTGTTTATCAAAATTACTTCGTCCTAAAAATAAAAGATAATCAAGCTTATTATATTACATTTTTAATTCATTAAACATGATTTTTTTGGAGGAACATAGTATAACCGAACCAGCGAACATGTCTCGGTCAGCTAATTTAGATTTCGGAAAACAGCACTTTGATGGTCTACCACCATCAATTATTTAATCGATCCAAAGCCAAATCCATAGTAAGCAACCTGGATAAAAAAAAAATTATCGAAAACCTTAACGCTACAACTTTACTTGACATTCTGAAAAAAATAATTCATTTTGTTGAATTAAAATAAAATAATTATTATTGAACTAATTTAATTTAATAACCTGATTTTTTTTAGGACATCGATAGTATAAGTTAACTCCTGTTACCTAAAAAAAAAAAAAAAAAACTTCTGTTACCTAATGAAGGTAAGACAATACTATGGTTTAGTAATTTAATCAAAAGTCAAAACCCTTTTAAAATAAGGAGCCCACACTAAAAGCCTTATCCATATCTTGTTCTTTATATAATCAATCATACAACAATGAGTGAATACATGGACCAATAATGCATTTGAATTAAGATGCAAGCTGTTGTTCTACTACATACGAATCAATTAATTATACAAACATATGTTCAGGTATGACATACAGGGTAGGTGAAGCCCCCGCTTTAGGGTCCCAATTCTTAGAGGCCCCTAATTTTTAGTATTTTTAATATTATGTATATGTATATATTTCTTTTAAGGAAAATATATCATCAAAAAAATTTATTTATTTGAATTTTAACTCCAAAATTATTTATATACAGTAGGCGGAGTTTAAAAAAGTTTCTAAAATTATAAAACCTTAATTTCGTCTGTTATAAACTTTTGGATTTGTAATTGTCGATCCAAAATATGAATAAGGAGAAAGGTTAATTTTTTTTCTTTTGTTAGTTTTTTAACTTTTAAAAGACCTAAATTTCGAAACTCGCTTTAGGGCCTCATGACACCTTAAGCCGCCACTGATGACATAGCACAGTTTGATCATATTAATTAGGTTAAACTTAAGTACTTAATTAGGGCCAAATTCATCAACAAAATATGGATCAATGACTTTTGATACTCTTGATTGGTCAATAGAACAAAAATTATTAGAAAAAATTCGACATATGTGGTTATAGGTCAACTGACGGCCAAAGATAGGTCTACTAATAATATTCCCTCCGTCCAAACTCCAAAATGTCCATTTCCACGTAAGGAGATAATAATTAAGAAAAGAACGTTGGAAAAAGATTGATTACCGCGAGAAGAAGTCCGATCTCCACGGATCCAAACAGGACGCCCAAAAAAGTTGCGAAGCAAATGATGAAATCAAGCTTGTCGACTTTCCAAATGCGGCGGGCTTCATGAACGTCGATGAGACCGGGCAAAGCAGACAATATAATCGATGCTAGGATAGCTAGTGGAGTGTAATACAAGAGCTTCGTGAATAATTGTAGGGATATCAAAACCGTAATCGCCATTACAATGTTTGATACCACCGTTTCACACCCCGCGCTGAAATTCACAGCGGTTCTCGAAAATGAACCTGAAAATTGAATTTAGTGTGACGAAATTCATGGTCTTGTTTATTATTATTTATTTGTTACTATAAATCGTGATTTTGTGCCAACTCTTAATGTATTGGCTCACGTACCAGTTGCTACGTAGCAAGAAGTTAGAGATCCTACAATGTTCATACACCCCATGGCTAACATTTCCTTGTTACCATCCAACCGATATCCTCTTATTGAAGCAAATGATCGCCCCACTGCGATGGCTTCCTGAAAATATCCAATAAAAAGTTGTAATAAGAACATAATCTCGAATGCGATAACAGTAATATATAGATGAATTTGTATAATCATAAAAAAGTCTATTTGATCATTTTGGTATTTCGAGTGACAACATTTATGAGTTATTTTACGATATGAATTTAGTGAAGGAAAAAAATAAAAATAAAAATAAATCGCACCGTGAGAGCAACACAAGCGCAAATGAGTCCTATTTTGGCTGCCTCTCCAATATCTGAGGAGGAACTCTTGAGCAGTAATTCATGAACTGAACTTGGATTCAAACCCCCTTTGAAGTGTTTTACTATGTTGACTCCATGTTTGTCGGCTCTAGTCAAGTACACTATCAATGTCGAGAACACAACCGAAATCAGAGGTGCAATTGCTGGCAACCAGAAGAACTTCTTGTTCTTTCTCCCCTGTAATTTCAATTCGATTCACAAAACATCTAATCAAAAGGGATCCCATAATTCCAATTGAAATTTTGACACAAAAAAAAAAAAGAAAAGAAAAAAGGTCATAAGTTTAACTTACAATAAATCTGGTCATCAAGATGAAGATAAGAAATGAACATCCCAAGACAAAGTTCAGGGGAGACAACTGTCATCATCAAAGTAGACCACAACTGAATTTGGTTAAAATGATTGATTGGAAAAACTAATACAGTCATCAAGCTAATTCAATCAAAATTAGTCTCTTATGTTGGTTAACTTAGAATTTACCGGGGTATGAAATGATTTAAAAACGGCTTCCAAAACAGAGACAACATCTGTTTTGTTCGTAAAATGGCTTATCCCAATCAACCCTTTGAGCTGTTGAAGACCAATTATAAGAGCTGCACCTGCCATGAATCCAACTAAGGCAGCATGGGATAGAAAATCAATCAGAAATCCCAACCTGAATAATCCAAACACAGCTTGAAAGGTGCCGGCAAAAAATGTTGCTGTAAAAACCATTTTTCTGTAGGCAACAGGATCGACTAAAGGGTCCACGATTTTCCCAATCAACGCAGAAATCAGGAGAGAAACCACAGCAACAGGACCAATTGCTAGATCTTTAGAACTTCCCATCATAGCATATATGAATGGCGGTACAACACTTGTATCTAAGTAAAACCCCCAAAAAAAAAAAACACAGCTCAATTAGTCCATATTAAGCTCAATTCAAAACAACCCATCAAAAGGAATAGAGTAAAAAAATGATGGGAACTTACACAGGCCGTATTGAGGATCAAGTTTAGCAAGGTTTGCATAACCAATGCTCTGTAAAAATTTGGACCAAACAAAAAAAGATCAGAAACAGAGGAAAAAATGTTGAAGGCAATGAAACAGAGTAGCTCTTTCTCATCATCTCATACTTGAGGAATACAGAGACTGGCAAGAGTTAATCCAGCCATCAAATCATTCTTGAACTTGGTTGCTTTGTACTTTCTTCCCCATTCAAGAATAGGGAAAACACCTTTCAAGAATGAAAAAGCTACATTTGCTGTGGACTGGTTCTTGTTCTTGCTGTGTAATGATGAGATTTTGGATTTAATTGAAGTGATGAGTTGGTGGAAAAGGTTAGGAGGTTCAGGGGAATCCAATACCCATCCTGTCCTCTCTGTTCTTTCATGGCTGATGACTTCCAGCTGCGGATGCTGTGTTTCATCCATTTTTTTTTTTTTTTTTTTGTGAAGGGAGAAGGAAGTTTGGACAATGGAGAAGAACACTCTTAATGTTTGAAAGTGTTTTATGTTAAACTTTTGATCGGTTAAATACAAGATTGGACATCTTTTGTCATCAACCCTGTTTCACCATTTGTAAATTTCTTTTTTCAGTTATGGGGGTGATTTTATTGTCCATTTGATTGATTCACATTAATGTTGTGGAGCATGAGATTCAAACTTTTTGCAGGGCTTGGTACAATTTTGTGTGGATTTAAATGAAGTGTAAAATCGGAATAAATAAATAAATATTTACGAATTAACCCAACAGCCAAACTAAGATGTTCTACTCGGATCTCTATATTAATTTGATGCAATCATGAATGTACCAATAAATTGCCATCTTCATTAATTGACCATATTGAACAATCATTCCAATTATGTAAAATAAGGAATTTCCGACTCTTATCTTGGAACCGAAAGAATAAAGTTAAGTACTTTGAGTAATTGTTTCATCGATCCTTCAAAATCACTAGACACAACACTATATTAATACACACATCTCATTGTTAGTCTTCTTTTAAAAGAAAAGAATGCATCCAAAATTTCATTTCTTATACCATTATTTTACCTTACCATACACAAGACGTAAGCTATAAAGACCTTCCAAACATAACACTTTATTATTCTCTCCGTCCAAAAAAATAATTTACATAGAGTTTTGAGTTTTGTACTATTTTTAATACAAATTTGAAAATTCAATGTGAACTAATTTTTTGAGACGGGTGTAATAATATAATGCGAAAAATGGATACTAAAAAAATGTTTCAAACAAAACAGAGAAATTTAACAAGCATAACATGGACAGAGAAGACTTTTTTATTGACTTGCTAAAAATATCAGACAGGATTGGTAAGCTGCTGCTGGTGGGGTAATCAGCCTCGTCAGTCTCTGCTAATTTATCTGACAGTCGCAGCATCACCATTAACAGAAAAAGAAAGAGCTTATGATTGAATCTGTGATCAATCATTTTCCTTCTTATGATTCTTTGGTTAATATCAAAATTATTATCGAGATTTAGTTGATTATCTAAAACACTTTTACTACTTGAAAAAATATATATAAAAAAAAAACGTCCCTTGATCTTTAAATCAATTTTCAAAAGAGTCATTCACCAACTAAAAATTAATTTATGCATATGAAATCTACCAAAAAAAGTATCAAAAATATATTTGTACCTTCAAGAAAACTCCTCCACAAAATTTATACTTCAATTTCTGATTGTATAATAACAGTAGCATAGCACTATGTTCTTCCTTTTTTCACAACTATAAAAATTAATTGAAATGTAAATTCACAGGGATAGAATAATTTTATCTTTGCCTTCTGGAAAAACGACTTCAAGTGGGCACTGGGCAAGTTGTATGATCAAAATTGATTCACATATATTTTCATTTTTTCCGCATGCATTCAAAACCAAATGTCGAATCGTGTTTGATGGTCCAAAAAGATGCACATTTCAAGGTTGACGAGAGTCAGAGACTGTCAAATCACTTCAAATGCCTTCTCACTACTAACTCATATGTCACTGCTTGTCGACATCTAAATCCAACTCAAGCGCAGTTTGGACTTGTGATTGACGTGTTTTCTCGGCACTGTTATTATTTGGATGATGTTGATTTATATTTTTTTGTCTCAAAATGATTTTATATAAAAGTTTTTATATTCAAGCAAAATGCTCTATGAGGATTGAGAGGGAACAAATCTAAAGTGCTAGTTTTAATTAGACTCTGTATTTTCTACAGCCCTAATACGATCCATTAATTGGCAACACGGCCCATTAGAAATTTCATAAAGCCTCCGGAGTTTCAAAGCCTACTGAATCTCAGGTTAATTCTCTCCCAATCTTTGAGAGATTTATTTGCTGGTTTACTAGTTACAATCTACTCTCCCGGTTCTAATTATAAATCACAAATTATTAATACTAAAATTAGGACTAGCGGAAATATTTCTCTTGCAAGTCGAATATTCTATCCGTTCTAAAATAAGAATTTCACTTATTGGCTAAAGAACTATTATTTTGAAAAAATGAGAATATTATTTTCTTTTTTTTTTGTTATATATATATATATATATATCAGTAGCCGAAACTTATATACAAAAGTAATTCCTTGAGTTTGAGTTGAACTGGGTCAATCTATGGCCAATTTTTATAACGCCTTAGGCGGGGTAATAAGCCTAGTTTTGCTAGAGAATCAGCTGATTCATTTCCGCTACGTCTCATGTGAGTTGTTTCAACAACCCATTGAAGAATACTGATTATTTGAGCTTTCACTGAAAATATCCAACAACATAGTGCATGTCTATCCTAAATGAAGAATTATGAGGCTAGCTCGCCAGTAAAGAGAACAAATTCCTTCCCCCCTTCTTTTACCACAAAAGTTGAAAACCCTACCCCATCTAAGTTGTAGTTTTCCTTCTTGGAGTCTAGCTACTAATCAATCTATTCCGAATCTCCCATCTTTTAGACTTTTACTACTACTTGAAATGTGTATTCGGAGTAAAAGGGCTGAAAACATTCATCACAGAGGGTATGAAAAACTCACTGAAAGGAACCCTTCGTGAAGTTCAAGCTAGATCGATCTCTCTTATCCCCTAAACGACACCCTAAAAGAATAACATGACCATATCCTATTCCTGGCTTGACAATATTGTTTGTGGTGTGAAGCGCCTGAATTATGCCGACTTTTTTTTCTCTCTTTTTCTCCATTCATAAAGCATTAGGGATCATGACTGACACTGAAAGCGGATGTGGAAGATCAGATTGTGGTATCATGCACTCTGATACAAGTTACATAAATTAATTTCTTTAAACCACTAATCCAAAAGGGTGGAGTTTCATGTACATAATCCGCCAAATGAATTGTTACCATGCTTTTCAACTGTGATGTTATAAATGGTTTTTTTAAACCCCATTTTGAATGTAGTTTAAGTACCTATACTTTTATTTTTCGCCTTCCATTATACTACCTCCGTCCCAAAAAAATAGTCCACATTGAGTTTACAAATTTGTACTAAAAATGGTATAAAACTCAAAACTCAATATAGACTATTTTTTGGAGACGGAGGGAGTATGATTAAAAAAAAACAAAGACCACCAGAATATTTCCTGTAGAAGCTAGGAAAATTGATAAAGTTAAAAACTTTGGAGTGGCACAACTGATCAATGAGCATTAAAGAGTGTGCAGGTGAAAAGGACATTAAATGATTGGAAAATATGAAGTATAGTACATGTGACTATGGGAGTGACTGAGCATTGGCTTATGAAAACTGAAAACAACAAAAGGTTCCTAATTACTGAATTTAATTAGTTGTAAAGTGAAAACCCTATACATTTATTACTCCAATAAATAATGAATGCTTGATCCACCTTCGGTTGTAAAACCGTGATTGAAACACGATATAATTAGTGTCTTTTATCACATAATGTATTTAAGTTATTAACTTTCAAGCTATGCTTCCTTCATTGGAAATAATAATATTAAAAAAAAATTGTACTGGTTTGATATATATGCATGTTTTGAATTTAATATTATTGACAAACTTTATTGCAAAGGTGCATGCTACTATGCAGGTAAATAGTATATCGCACGTCTTCCAGTCCTGGCGTCTTTGGACTAGAATTTTCGTCCAATCTGAACATATTACATATCAGATGTTAGACCCGCATATTGAGTGGGCTAAATAACTTTAAATTTATTTTTTTCTGAAGATGTTTTTAAGAAAGAACAATCTTAAATGTTTGTTTTTTTATGCTAATTGAGTAAATATTATTTGACACATTAAATAATTATAACGTGGACCTAATGCAAATATAAAAAAAAAAAGAAAAATAAATTTTATGTGTTAAAATTTATTCGAAATTTTTCTTCTTTTTTTTTTCAAAGTCAGATTTTTAGGAATTTATTTAAATTATTATCATAAGATGATCTTAATTAAGTGTTTAATTTAGTAAAAAATTCAAGGGTTTTAACACAATTTTCATAACTTATTTTTGTGAGAACACATGAAATAGTGACACATGAGATTTTATCCTAGTCATCACTCTAAAAATGAAAGTTAGTTTCTCTTTCGGGTTTCTCTAATAGTAATATACATATATATAGATAGATGAAAGCCATCAACTAATATCATCTACGTTGCTAGCTCCATGAGAAAAGATTTTGCAGGTCGAAGATGAAATGTCAAAATCGCCAAAACAAAGGAGATGGCTGGCGTTACTCCAAATTTAGAAGGAAATTCATCACATTTTTATGGACAGCAAAGTCTACAAACATTAAATCCATTATTATGCGGGTGGAAAACACCGGTTATGTGAGTGTTTCAGCAATGACTTAATTTGTTTTTCCGGATGGATTATCATCTAATCTAATCGCTTGAGATGTCACAGTCCTTCTCTAATAAAGCTACGATTAAGCGACGTAATAAGCAAGTTCGACTAACAAAAACTCTGGTCCTACTAATTATAATACACAAATGAAATATTAATATTAATTTAAATTTATATCATATAATTAGAAACCCAGTCCTACTTATAATACACAAATGAAAAATTAGTATTATTTAAATTTACGTCTTATAATTAGAAACCAAGAGAGTAAACGTAACGTTCGAGAGTTCAACGGTCCACTTAAGCTCCACAAATTTATGTACATCTTCAAATATGGTTGAACACAAATCAATGGTGAAGAAAAGCAAAGAATGCGCATGCACTGGTCTATGTACTTATCCATGGCCAAAAAGATGAGGCCATATTGATATCTTCCATTTTGAAGCTCTGATCTCTCCCAACCCTTCAATTCGTTATATCCTTTTTGAAGGTGGAGGTCGGTAAGACTGATCACTCAACCTTAACTTTATGAAAACTGAGAAGAGAGAAGTGGGTACTTTAGCTTATTGCCTTTCTTCCCATGCCAAAAACTTCCCCACTTCTCAATTTTCCATCTCTTTTGTATTCTTTCTTTTGTTTTTGAGGGAAAAGAGTTGAATCTAGCTAGCAACCTAAAGACGGTATTCCTCTTTTGATTAGTTTCATCCATTAATCATCCCTCTATACCCAAAAAAAAAGGAAAAAAAAAAAAAAAGATGTAAAAATTTACCACAAGCACCCCTTTATATTTGACCTACATTTAGCCTTAAATATAGTGAGGAAATTGCGTGAGATGGCATCCTAAATGATTTTTAGCAATCCCTAGTCCTGGCAGACTTGTACACGTTGGTTGAACCTCCGCAAGAATTGAAACTATAGTTGCACTACCATATGATCGTTATTACCTATCCACGATCGATTGTTAACTACTTAGCCTTGTCTTTCCTTTCATTGTACAAAGTAAACGATTTTTATTTGTTTTTTTTTCATTTAAGCTTTTTTTTTTCTTTTCTTTTCAGAATTCAAACTCGTTGAAAATCAGCCACAACAATCACCATGGACATTGAAAACAAAAGGAACGCAA